GGTCTAGAGGTTAAGAATTCACTCGCGAAATCTAAGGTTCTTGGTTTGAGTCCCGCGTGGGAGATTGGGAATATGCGTTGTTGAGGAGTTCCGTACTAGGACGAAATGGTTGTCCAGTGCTACCAGGTTTTTAATGGTGATCTAGTTTGGATCGTCTCGTGAATTTAACTAATAAATGTGTGAACATCAATCAGACTATGTAAGAGATGAATATCAGAGATTGAAATATGAAATTAATAAAGGGTATTAGATGAATCTCCAGTCACAATGACAGGGAGAGGCTAATCATACATAGGTTAGGTCGGAAACATTTGATAGCGATTGCCTCTGACAAACGGAATAAGACCTTTTCCTGTTAATTATTTTAAATGCATTACTCACACTTACCTTATATCCGCTATCCAAAAGGTGCCTAGCAATTGCACTTGTAATGACTTGATTCCCTTTCAGCCGTGGGTTCTTAGGAATCTGTTCAGAAAACCTTGTAGAGACGCTTCTTTCTATGTTTACGATGTGCTTACTGTTGCAGATACATATGACTTCACAAATATAAATGGATGTAACATTGGAAGAATATTAATCTATTTTTGAATGGTGAAATGAATGTTTGGTGTTGCGTGGTGAAACCATTTGAGCATCGGGGATGCTTCATTTCAATGTTGGGTTGATTCCACCATCGATTCTTCCTGCAATCTTACCTCCATTGAATGGAAGGCGAACGAAAACAAATATCTTTGCAACATTTAGTTGTTTATCATCCATGGGATATTCTTTAGTAATCTTAACGTTTACAAACAAATATTTCTAATTTCTAATTTCAATATATTTTTTTAAAATGCTACTTACACAGTTGAATTCACGAGTCAATCTAAGTTGGACCACTAGTGAAAAACTGGAAGCACTGAACAGCCGTTTCGTCCTAGTGTAGGACCCCTCAGTAGTGTAAATCCTCAATCCACACGCGGAACTTTGACCTACAACCTTTGGTGTCGCGCGCGAAAGCTTAACCTAATTTGACTGTGAAACTACTACAGTCTCCACAAATCCCCATGCTGAAATGCTATATACTTGATTGTATTAAATTTTCTTGTTTTTATAAGATTCAAAGTTTTGTTGAAATTTAAACGTTATTACTTTTTAACTGAAGGTCTAATCTGTTTGTATCGAAGGTATTTGTTTGTTTCGATTTTCTCGGTTGTTTGCAGATAGTACACTATCACTGTGTAAAATCTCTGCTTAACTGTACACAGTTTTATGGCATAAACTATTTAGCTATGTATGTTGATTAGTAATTGTTATTGCGTATATATTGCAAATATGTCATATTAAAAATGTTGCTATGTATGAGAAGAGTAATAAACTTCGACTGTTCAGTATCAATATGTATGTATGAGTAACAATGAGAAGTAATTGTCATTTGCATTGTATTTTGTAATTTACAGAACAGCACGAATGAAACCTGAGTGGTCTGTCTAGATATTGTCATTTAATAGTAAGTTGGATAGTGGATATCAGTGTCATTCAAGAGAAGCGTATTTCTCCTTATGAAACTCATTAACTGAATTTACCTGGTCCAATAATTCAGTGTGAGAACAGTTGAAATTTGATGCAAAAATGAATAATTTCAAGTTTGAATGAGAATATTAACATTGAGATATAGGTAAATCTATCTAAATGATTTTGAATAAGACCAAACACTTGTGTCCAAGTATATACGAGCGAACTATACTAACGACTCAGTTTTCAAAATAAAAGCAACTGTTCACCATACAGTAAAGAAACATTTGGTCTAAAAAATATAAATTTTCACTGTCTAAATCATGAACTGATGTCAGATAGACTACTTTTAGAAACCTGATATAATTGGACGACCGTTTTGTCCAAATATGAGACTCCTCATCAGTGTGTATCCTCGACTTCGCACACAGAAATGTAATCTAAAATTTTCAGTCTCTCGCGCAAACGCACCATCTTTGGACCACTGACCCGGAATTCAGTAGTGTTAATATCTAAATTTAGTCAATTCACGGTTTTTTACAACCCTCCATTGATTGCTGGCGGTGGATAACTGTTTCACATCCGACATAGACTGAACTCCATCGATCACTAGAACTCAAGATGTTCCATCTTAAAGCATGTCACTAGTCAACACATCATTATTATTAATATAAAGGATTTATGGAGGTTATGGCATTTTTCACAAGTAAAAACACTAAAATGATCTTAACTAAACTATAATTTCCACAAATTTTTTACACTAAAATTATTAGTTTCAAAAATTTTCTTAAACATTTACATCGTTAGAAAGTAATTGATCCTGAAGATTTAGAATTATTTTGTGAACCCTTAATATACTTATATATTTCTTTACAATTCTAAAGAAAGGCAGTGACCAGTGAAGTTCAACCTGATCTGCTGTGAAATAGTAACTCACTGAATATAATAGTGAATTTGTCGCTCAATTTCGTGGATTGGTTGAAGTTAGATATTAACACCGGTGAATGCCGAATCAGTAGTCTATAGGTTAAGCGTTCGCGCGCGAGACTGATAGGTCTTGGGTTCAAATCTCAAAAGGTGGGTTCATGGATACATAATACTGAGAAGTTCCACAATAGGACGAAATAACCGACCAGTGCTTCTAGGTTTTCTATGGTGATCTAGCTTCAATTGACTCATGATCTCAACTATTAAAAATTAAAATATAAATGCTAATTTATGACCCTTTTTATACAATTTAGAACTGAATAAATGAAAGAATTTCATTGTTGTGTCTTGAGCAATGAATTTAACCCATAAATTCAATTGAAAATATTTTGTAAAAATTTTTTTCCTTTTCCAGTCAAGTCTTAGTAAATTCAATATTCAATATATTTTTCGTCAACACACTTTTTGAATATTAACAATCAAATGTTTTTGACTGAGATCATGAACCGATTGATGTTAGACCACCACTGAAAACCTGGAAGCACTGAACTGTTATTTCGTCCTGTTGTGTAACTTCTCAGTAGTATGCATCCATGAACCCACCTCTTGAAATTCGAGCCCAGGATCTATCAGTCTCACGCGCGAACGCTTAACCTGCTGGACCACTGAGCCGGGATCCATTGGTGTTAATTTCTAACTTCAATCAATTGCGCGACCATCTTCCATTGTACTGAGGTAGACACCTGTTTCTACCCGACACGGAGGAGTTTCACAATTGGATGAAACGGTCGTTCAGTGCTTCCAGGTTTTCAATAGTGGTCTGACATCAATCGGTTCATGATCTCAATCAAAAACTTAACAATCTCCACAACCCCTAAACTGATAATCAAATGTGTTTTTTTTTAATTCCAATCTTCTATTTCATTGTTGAACAGTTGATGTATTCATATTTATAGCGATTTTTTTTATTCAGTTTGAAAAAACTTTGGACCAAAATCATCGATTTTATTGATTTCAAATTATAAGTTTACCTTTGTTCCTTGTATTCATATTGACAATATATGTATATTCTCGAACATGTGATATAATTTTTGTTTATACGTTGTTAACATGTTCAAGTTTTAATGTTATGTAAAGAAAAAATGTTTGTTTTTTTTAAAATTTTGTTAATACATGGTGTGGATTGTGTGTGTGTATGTTTGTATGTGGATAATAGTGATATTACCGAATGGTTAAATTTCGATTATTACTAATTATTATTTCATATCAACTATGAGAAAGACAATGATGATGGCTCAGTAACTCAGATTGATTAGATTTAGCCTTGTAAACCAATGAATTCTGTCTCAGTGATCCAGAAGTTAAACGTTTCTGTATGAAACCAAAAGTTCAGGTTCGATTTCTAGTTGCAGATTCGTGAATATGCATTGCTAAGGAGCCTTATACTAAGAAGAAACAACTATTCGGAGCTTCCAGATTTTCAATGGAAGTTTAACTTTGGTAAGTTTGTGATTTTATCTATTTATTAAACCACTATAAATACTATTGAACAGTTTTGATAAATGATATTGTCGGAAATAAATTTCTCAATGCTGAATTGTCTCCATTCTTCAAGATAATCGTCATTTGAACATTTGAAGTTAGACATTAACACCGTTGGATGCCGGCTCAGTGGTCTAGTGGTTAAGTGCTCGTGCGCGAAACCAGTAGGTCCTGGGTTAGAATCTCGCGGGGGGCGAGGTCGTGGATGCGCACTGCTGAGGAGTCCCGCAATAGGACGAAACGGCCGTCCAGTGCTTCCAGGTTTTCCATGGTGGTCTAGCTTCAAATGACTCATGATCTTAACCACTGAAAAAAAAATTGTTTGAAATGTATATGGAAATAAGATCTAGATATTTGACAGTGTTATCTAAATATTTAAGCTATCACTCCAAACGATTTGCAAACCTCTCTCTTACATAACAAACATATTTAATTCTTCATCTAACAAATTACATCGACAACTGGAAATGATTAAATTTTTAAGCTTATTTGCATAATCAAATTGAGAAAGCAACAAAATACTTTGTGAACATATCATATTTTGAGAATATTGTTGTTCTTATTTTGTTTAAATCAATTTATTTCAGTTTAGTAAATAGATAGTATTGTTGTTAACTAACTTTGTACTCATTTTTCTTCCTCTTCTTTTAAACGCTTAAATTGGAGTTATTTAAGTCAATTTTTTTTACATAGAATTCCAGCTGTTCAATGTAGACAATACAACTTGTCTGTTATATGGCGGACTTGGATTTGTTGGAAAGTTGAATATTCAGTCGAATGTTATTACTTTTTAACATTTTTTTCTTGATGAGTAATTAGGAGTGTAAAGTTAATATCATAAATGAATAAATAATAATAATAGTAATAATGATATGGAGCGATCAGTTCGCATAAATTAAAGTTGTCTTATTTAACTTATAATTTGTGTGTATTGATATGTGTACAAATGACTGAAATGAATCATCGCTTGCTTTATGTTCCCCTGATATATATATATATATATATATATATATATATATATATATATATCGATAGAAGTTAGACACCAACATTATTGGATGCCGACTCAGTAGTTTAGAGGTTAAGCGTTCGCGCGCGACACCGAAGACCCTGAGTTCGAATTCCGTATACGAGATCGTGTACGCAAACTGTTGAGGAGTCCCAGGCGAAACGGTCATAAAACAGTACTTCCAGGTTTCGATGGTGGTCTAGTCTAAATCAACTCATGAATCCACTTGTTAAAATTGCTACAATCTCCACAAATCCTATTCTGATCACAATCTCAGTATGATTGTTTGACAATACATTTCTCAGTAAATGTGACAAAAATCAACATAAAATAGGTTTTTTAAAATCGCCATTTGAAATTTATTGAATTTCCACATGTGGAGTTGATTCAGAATCCCAAATAGGACAAAACGCACGTCCTGGATTCCACTGTTAGCCACTCTCCGTCTTTGACTACAAAAGCTTGTGAATTAAGGCAATATCGAGGCATACTCACAGTATGTACATATGCCAATAACAGACTGATCAATTGCAGTCTTAAATCTCAATGAGAAGATACAAGCAAAACAATACCAAGTGAATACAGATACCATTTTTTTAAGAACAAGAATTTACACAACTGTTCACGATTCCAAGGAAATTCCACAATACCTACTACCTTATGTTGAAATCTATCATGTACTCACTAGTGGTTAATTTCGAGACAAAATTTCTAGAGTTCTAGAGAGAGGCTGTGACTAGTAGAGTTCAACTGTCTTGGGTAAGAAGGAGTTACTCACTGAAAATAATGGGAAATTGTTGTGCAATCTTACAGATTGATCAAAGTTAAACATTTACACTGTTGGATGTCAACTCAGTGGTCTAGATGTTGTGCATTTATGCTCAAGACCGAAGGTCCTGAGTTCGGTCCCTGCTTACTAGATCACGGATGCACATCGCTGGGTGGTGCTCTACTAGAATGAAACGCCTGTTCAGTTCTTCCAAGTTTTCTATGGTAGTCTAACGGTAACTAGTTCATGATTTCAATGAAATTCAATAATTTTTACAACCCCGTACCGAAAATCTAGAAGACATAGTTTTTTAGTTAGGTCTGATTAAAAAAACCCACCTACATTTGAAAAAAACCACAACAAAATATGCTCATAAGTTATTTAGGATATGAGTCAGTAAATACTGTTATGTAAGGAAAGTGTCATTTTTATTCATTTAATGATGATGAGAAGAAATAATAAACTCGGTATCGACAGTTTTATATGCACTAAATGTTTTTGAGAACCTTATTCATCAATCATACCGTTTAGAAATACTTAACATATTTATTTTGCTCTACTATTTTTCACTCTGAAAAGGTACATTATTTTAGTAAATAGAATTAAATGTTTATTAATCAGTTGTTCTATCATTTGTTTCGTTTAGGTTGTGTGTAGCTAACCAGTGGAATTTTATTGATTTTATTTATTCGATAGTGATTGAAATGTTATCAATAACGGTCAATAATATTCACTATATATCCCGAACTGAATGAAGTTTTAGATATCAATAAGTTGATTTTTATATTGTAACAGTTTAAAAGTCACTTGCTTTTCCAAAAGATCTGATTGGTTCTGAATCCAGTTTTACTGAAGATGTGCACTACTGCTGGAGAGTTCGAAACAAGTAGGGAATAGCAGTCAGTGTTACATTACTATGTTACTTCCTTACACCTCTTACCTCTCCTGGAACATAGGTCACTGACCACGATTCTCCAACCTATTTCGTACTGGTCTCTCCTTCCTAGCTGTTGTCAAGTTCTGTCTATTCTTTTAATGGCTGCTTTCAGTCCCAAGCCCAATGTGCTCTTTGGTCTGCCTCCTTTCGTCAGTTTTACATGGTCTTTAACAATTCATCAGCAGGAATCAGTCTGTGATGAAAAGATATTTCAACATAGAATATTGCCACTTTGAACAAAGGTCTATAAATGACGGAAAATTAGTAGGTATCCTAGGAAAATCTGAAATTAGTACAATGCAAGCAAGAAAATAACAAACATGATGTCGGTTTGTTAACCGAATATTACCATATAGCAATTAATCAACACATTCATAACTGAAAAAAGTAGGAACGTAGAAATTGGGTTGTACACTAAATGAATGCAAAGCGAATGCTGTATATTTACTGTCTATCACGCTAAATTCATACATAGGGATGAAGTACTGTATAAATATTGAAATAAAATGTGATCTCCACATTTTTAGCTTGTCCCAACAAAATTGAAAATTTAAACTAAGAAAGTTGCGTAACGTAAAGTATTTCATTATGTAATAATTGAAATTTACAAAAACTAACATGTGATTAGTAACACACATACACATATTGCAAATATACTTTATTTTTTATATCAAAACAATCAATAACAGCCTGATGTATCATAAGACTCTCTTTCTCGCTGTTTATCAATTAAAACCTCTCGTAAAGTACATTTTACCAATATTTAAAATTTATTTATTATATGAATATATTAACAAGGTAAATTGTGCTTTTAAAAAATGTATTTAACAGTTTCGTGGTTGTGGAGATTGTTAAGCTTCTGATTGAAATCATGAACCGATTGATGTTAGACCACCATTGAGAACCTATTATCCTATTGTGGGACTCCTCAGCAGTGTGTATCCACGATCCCGCTCGCGGGATTCGAACCCGGGGCCTTCGGTCTTGCGCGCGAACGCCTAACCTACTGGACCACTGAGCCGGGATACAATGGTGTTAATGTCTAACGTCAACCAATCCACGAAGTTGCGTGAACATCTTCCATTGTACTGAGGTAGACACCTGTTTCTACACGACACGGATTACCTTCACTGGTCACGACTTCTCACCAGAACTCCGAGAATTTTCTCACGAAACTAGTTACTAGTGAGCACATGAATTTTAGTCAGTCTTTATGATATATTCTGTGTGGAGTGATTTAATATAACCATTTTGTCATATGTTTGATAGAACAGATGGATTTTGGCTAGCAATGGAATTTAGGATACTCATTTCATCATCATCATCATCATCATCATCATCATCATCATCATCATCATCATCATCATCATCATCATCATCATCATCATCATCATCATCATCATCATCATCATCATCATCATCATCATCATCATCATCATCATCATCATCATCATCATCATCATCATCATCATCATCATCATCATCATCATCATCATCATCATCATCATCATCATCATCATCATCATCATCATCATCATCATCATCATCATCATCATCATCATCATCATCATCATCATCAGAAGCATCATCATCAGAAGCATCATCATCATCATCATCATCATCATCAGAAGCATCATCATCATCATCATCAGAAGCATCATCATCATCATCATCATCATCAGAAGCATCATCATCATCATCATCATCATCATCATCAGAAGCATCATCATCATCATCATCATCAGAAGCATCATCATCATCATCATCATCAGAAGCATCATCATCATCATCATCATCATCAGAAGCATCATCATCATCATCATCATCATCAGCATCATCATCATCATCATCAGAAGCATCATCATCATCATCATCATCAGAAGCATCATCATCATCATCATCATCAGAAGCATCATCATCATCATCATCATCAGAAGCATCATCATCATCATCATCATCATCAGAAGCATCATCATCATCATCATCATCAGAAGCATCATCATCATCATCATCATCATCATCATCATCAGAAGCATCATCATCATCATCATCAGAAGCATCATCATCATCATCATCATCAGAAGCATCATCATCATCATCATCATCATCAGAAGCATCATCATCATCATCATCATCAGAAGCATCATCATCATCATCATCATCATCATCATCATCAGAAGCATCATCATCATCATCATCATCATCATCAGAAGCATCATCATCAGAAGCATCATCATCATATTTAGGACTTGTCAGATGAACACACCTGTATTACGGTGTTAATGTTTAGATTAGTACTTGAACCATGTACTTTCTGTTTTAAGCGTCAGTGTATAATCTGAGAAGGTAACCCAGTTCAGATAATCACTAAGTTGCTCACTGTGTATGGTTGTACATTCAACTGACAAATTTCAAATAGGATAAAACATGCATCCTAGGTTCCAACATTAATCTCAGTTCATTTTTTCTAAACTCTTTCCCTAAACGATCACTAAATAGATCACTCAGGAACGTTGGGTTAGTGGATAAGCACTACTACCTATACAGGTACATTGCTTAAATCCATTATCGTTGTAGTTTTCACAAACTTATACTGGAACTCTCGTTTCACCTTGAAAATAATTGGATTTTTTTACCCATTATAACGGCTTTCAACATTTCATAAATTGCTTTAAAGTTCTTTCTAAGTTTTACTCCGTAAAAAACTTGACGCTGATCGGTTGTTAATGTATTACCTGAACAGACCATATTCCATATGATGTATTGTTAGTGTATCACCTTGTTATAACTTTTTTATTGTAGTCAACCATATGCATATTTGTAATCATGGTAGTGTTGGATAGGCTTGATATGCTTTTTCTAGAACATTCCACAAACCAAGTGATTTATGATTCCATTTTTCATGTATGTATGTATACTTGAAATGGTCATCTCCAGGCAGTATAGAAACTGCTTCATATAGAACAGGTTAGAATCTGTCACGTTAATTTAACTCAAGTGTAGTCTGTTCCCCACGATATTTACTTGTGCGCAGTTCAATTTGTTTTTAAATTTTCTACAAACAACTTAATGAAGAGTTGAATGAGTGGCTCTATTTATGTGTACGCGTGTTTTAGTGAGACGAATATACGTTGTCAAGAAAGACATATGAGGTCATATATTCTTTTTAACAATGTTCAAGACAAATATAACATCTAGCATTTTCGAGGATTTTTCCGTTTACTTAATGGGTTAGTATATAAGAGTGTAATTGTCAGTAAGGAATTCATAGTAATCATCTGGAGCTATTCACATATGCTTTTTGTGAACACAACACTGTAGAGTACCCCAACTTGTCGGATGAAAATAATAATCAAAGGAAAAGTTTGAGCTTGAAATAAAATTCTCAATGAAAATTACGCTCTTACATGCAACACATTCAGTAAATGAATGGAAAAAAATATCCGGAAATCTTTGATACCGCATACATAGTCATCACTGAAAACGGTTACATAGCCTTACCTCTACCCCCCCCCGACACTAATAAATACCATGCAGTTTTAAAAAGAATGAACCGGAAACGTCCAATTCTCAATGTCTACTTCTATGCATTTGATATAAAACAAATACTGTGTACATTAAACTGGCGCCTTTATTGATAGGACACAATCAAACTGTGTGTGTTCATATATACATATATATGTATATATGTTTGTTTATTTGAATAGTGAAATATGGAAATCATCAATTTTTATTACTCTATGTTATAGTAAAAAAATCTATTAGACACCAAAAAAAGCACATCATGACTCATCCGTGGAAAGCGACTTGTAATAAGAGAAATTTGCCACATTTTGCTGATAAATAATATTTTTTTAAAAAATTATTTCTAATAGTTAATCCGAGTGTTGATGAGATAGTTAAATTTCAACTATTCCGAAGACTTGGACCAGATTGCCAGGCGAAACGTTGGATTTACTTAATATTTCGAAGACTGTCGAGAAGTAACACTGGTGTAGGCTACTTATGTCTATCGACATAAGTAGTGTGTAACACCAATCAGAAGTGGAATGTCTAGCAGAAGAGAGTTTAGAAGATCGATTTGAAGAGAACAGGAATGTAAACAGAGAGTAATTGTAATGACAACAGGAATGAAAGAACGATGACGTTTGTAAAAGACATTTGATGGAAGATGTGCAAATGAAGTAATTAATGTATGGTTTTCATAATTTATTATTATTATTATTATTACTGCATTCCCCTTTACTTATGTCTTATATTCTCATTGTTTTATGCATGAACGCTCATCATATCAGTTTATTTTTGTACACCTCTATGATCTTTAATTATTATATCAAAAACACTTTAATCATCTTATGATTTCAATATGTTTGTTGATTGCTGATTGACCTGAGTGCCAGGCTTCTAGAAATTCTCTGGTGTTTTTGGAGTTTCCTCTGTCTAAGATTTCTACATTTTCCCAATCGAATGAGTGTCCGTAGTTATCCACGTGTATTGAAATAAGTGAAGAAATATCATGGCGTTTGACTGCCAATTGATGTTCATGTAGGCGTAGGTGGAGGGGACGTCCGCTTTGTCCGATGTAGTGTTTGTCGCAGTTGGTACAGTTTATTTTGTAGATAATGTTTGATTTGTTCTCCTTTGTTATTTCATCTTTTGGTTTGCATATATCAGCTGGAGAATTATAAGAGAAGAAAGAGTGGTCATCAGTAAATATCGGATGATTGTTTTTTTCTGTCACTTGGATTTGCTTAATCTGTTTTCGTAAAAAAATCTAAACAAGAGTGCGTAGATTTCATTCTGAGAACGACAATTTTCAACCATAATGAGTTGGTTTACTGAAGCAGTAGTAACTAAAAAAACTCAAACCTGAATTGTGTTTAGAAATAGACAGTAATCAACTTATCACTACTTTTGTAAATTCACAGATTTAACCAATATCACCTGAAATTATTATTATTATTATTATTATTATTATTATTATTGGTGTTTATTTAGCAGTACAGAATTAGCCAAATTAATTCTTATTTTATGTACACCCAAATCATCCTTTCATGAATCTCTTTTTATCCTCATTCACTTCATTCGCTAAATTTATGTAAACTGTTCAAATTGTTTATAATTATTATGTAACCCATTTTATCAGTTTTCAATTTCAGACAATTACCACCTCATAACTAAGTGTCTTCTATACATATTTAGTTTCAAGTGGTCAGAGAATTATGTAAACTCTTCACAACTTCTATAATTATCACAAGATCCATCTTATCTGTTTCCAGACTTCATTTCATTACTACCCCCCGCCCTCATATCTTTGAATTACATCTACAAACGATCTCATACCTATTCATGCATATATATTGTAACGGAACGAAAACGCTTAAAATCCCTCCATAGCATTTTATTGGACAGTATTGTCATTTATTTGCTTCTTCTCCCTGTTTTGTAGTTTAAACCTTATTCAGGTTTCTTTTAACCGCACTTTATATCCTTCAGTCTTCCTCGTCTGTGTTTCTATTATGTGACTTTGATTAAAGATTTACCTTTTGTTACTTAATTTTTCTGTTGCATGTTGCCGAACTCTTGACAATAAGGTCGTGTTTGACAAATCTCAGGGTCATGACGTGGTTCAGTGTGTGACTGATATCCTTTGACTGACTGCTTGGAAAGATTGCTGATATCCCTGCAGATAGATATATAATCCTTTCTTGTTGCGAATATTTTTATTGATTCTCAGGTACTGAACTCCTGTATATTAACTATTTCTTTTGTTGCTTAGCAAGTTAAGTTGTGTTAGAGAAACCCTTGACTACATAGCATAGGCTGTACTGCTTGAGGTATTTTTTATTTTTGATATAATTTGTTTTTAAATTAGAACCGCTTAAATTGAAAACAGAGTTTGTCTTCTGATATAATTTATTTAGAGTAACTCAACAACGCTTTGTCAACTATACAAAAGAACTTAGTCCGATCTAATCAAAAAAACTTGGTTCGTTGGTTCTGTGTTCAAACCGAATATTGGTAATCTGTTTTCTTCTAATTCTTTCCGTCATATTATATCATATCCTGATGGTACACTTTACGTACAAATACGGTTGTAAACAGCTGATGAGAAACCATAAAATTATCATGAATTTATATTAGTTCGCCTCAATCATTATTCTGTCTTTATTCGGAAACTAGTTTACTTGTTCTTCAACTGTTACCACTTTTGACATGTAGAAATGAAAACGCGAAATCACTTCCTAATTTGGTATTCAGCATCACTTCTGTTTGGGATTCTCTCTGATATATAGTTGGTATTATACGCGTTTTAATTCAATGAAACATTCATTTAATATAACTATTTTTGTATTCATTTCATTGTATCAATTCTCTTCAGTATAATATAGAGAATTCATTTTGTATTAACTCTTTGTAATATCTATCCTTTTTTTCTTTTTCCCATCTCGGTTATATGTCATATTGATTAATTATCAAATATCAGTTTATTTTGTTGATAAGTTGTTTCATACACATAGTTCCCTTTATCATTTCGTAGGTTGTAAGCAGCTGACGAGAACCAACGAAATAAAAATGAATTCATGCTATTCTGCTAGAATGTTTGTTCTTGCTCTTCTCAAAATGATAAGTTGTTGTTATGTTCTTAGAGAGTGAATAAAATCATTATCTGCCATTCGGTTTCGTTCTCATATTTGAGTCGTATGATATCCTAAGGTTTTTTTTAACAATGTTTCGGGCACCATTTTTGTTTATTTTGTGGTTTGTAAATGATCCATTACCGATCCATTGAATTGAGTAAAATTATACAAACTAGTTAAATATTAAACTTGATCGATATTGTGAAGTGTTATTATTTGTTAATTTTCCTTAATCAGTATCAAACTTCTGGTACCCTTTAAAAACCATGTTATAATCTTATAGTTCAAATTGTCATAGTTCATCATAAAACAGTACTTTAAATAAGAAACTACAAACTATTGCCCATCTATTTTTGTTATGACTAGGTCGCCAATTGTCATATCTGGTCGTCGCCAATTTGTTATGTCGGAATCGCTTATCATTTATACTTGTAAGACAAGGAACCATTGCATTTCCCTCGACATTAAGTAAGAACACCAAGACTGATACAGATGAAGATTTATTGACCTCAAAACACGACGACCCTAGTTGAAAATGCACTTATTTATACACTGATTGTACATCCATTTTGATTATCAATTAGGATGAAATCACATATATGAAAAATACCCAGAATTA